GGTCAATTTCTGAATTGTGACAAAGACGTCACACATAAAACATAATGACTTCTCTCTACTTAATGAATAATTCAGCCCCATAACTTTTACAGCTTATTTATTGTTCAGCAGTGGTTAAACTGTCATTATCTTAACAGAAGTTCTACTATAAACACTGTCCATTAAACTGCACAGTCCATACACAATATTCTCAAATCACAAATGGAGAATCTTCAAAAGGTGAAAACCTCAGTAATACCTTAAACTGGTGGTCCTGAATTGTGTTTCAATAAACTTTTGACTTCCATGGAAACTTAACAAGAGGTGTTTAGTAAGATCAATAAGAGCAAATAAGCTTCCCTGAAATATAGTTTTCTTTCCACTATTAATTCTTCTTAGAAATGTGCAACTATGGAGGAGTACTGGAGGGAAGACTCCCTGGAAAAGACCCTGATGTTGGGAAAGAGTGAAGGCAAGAGGAGAAGGGGACGACAGAGGACGAGATGGCTGGACAGTGTCATTGAAGCGACCAACATGAATTTGACTCAACTCCGAGAGGCAGTGGAAGACAGGAGGGCCTGGCGTGCTCTGGTCCATGGGGTCACGAAGAGTCAGACACGACTTAACGACTAAACAACAACTGGGTGCTACTCAGTGATAACAGGTAGTGGCTTTCTCTTTCAAACTTGAACTACATCTGGCTTCCTTACTGATTTCTCCTCCTGTCCTTGCTGAACCCTCCCTTGCTCTTCTAGGACTTGGAAAGCTTGCTTTAGGTAAGCCAAATACGGTTGCAACAGCAGAGGTGGTTTACAGATTTGTTTGACTGTCCTGAGGGATGAACTGCCCTGCATCTCCCTTCCTTCTTGCTGAAGCTCAGGGTCTGAGCAAGCCTTCTCTTGGTGACTGGGCCAGACTTGAGCAATTGAAACTGGTATTCTCTCAATCCACTCTCGCAGTTCTCGTTTCCTTGCCCACCACTCCCTCTTAGGAAGGCTTTAGGAGGCAGTCTTGACTCGTGCAGCCTTTCTGCTTCTGCTCTGGGCACTCTCAAAGTGACTAGCTCACAAGTCCAGGGATTCTTACATTCTACATAGGATATTCCCAGCCCTATTGACATTCAGTTGCTTACTTTCAAGAGTGTCACTGTCCATCCAGCAAGCCTCTATTTCCTCCTTCTCATCTTTCCAGTTCTCATCCTCCTCTCCTATATCTGTTTCCCTTCTTTTTCCCCTGTCTTCGTCCGTCTCTAGAATCTTCCTCCGCCTATATCTGTTTCCCTTCTTTTCCCCCATCTCTTGTCTTCGTCCGTCTCTAGAATCTTCCTCCCTTTTCTCCTCTCCTTCTTCTCCCTCCTCTAGGAGTCCTTCCTCGTTCACCTTCTCTGGCCCTTTTTCTATCTTTTCTGTCTCTCCTCTCTGTTCCATATCTAGTCGTGCCCCACTTTACGATTACCCCACATTACGACGAATCCGCTTCATGATGACGTTTTTGCGATTGCTTTTGCGATCGCAAAATGATGGTCTAAATGTGGGAATTTCGCTTTGCAATGATCGGTTCCCTTCTTCGCAATACAACAATCTTTACAGCTGATTGTCAGGTTTTCAAAATGGCCATCGGGTAATGAAAATGGCTCCCCGTTGTGTTTAGGGACGGATTCCTCACTATACAGGCACCAAAAATGGACGCCGTATAGAGGATCTTCGCTGGACGGTGAGTTTTTAGCCCACTGGACGGTTTTTAGCCCATTGAACGGTTGTCAATGCATTTCAATGGGCTTTTTATTTTTGCTTTACGACATTTTTGCTTAACAGCAATTTTTCTGGAACGGATTATCGCCATTAAGCGAGGCACCACTGTATCTCCCTATATCTACAGGAGAAACAAACATAGGGAAATCCTCCTTGGCCATTTGGACATGAGGTTGTCCTCCAGCAGGAACATCACAGGCTTGCCTTCTTTCTCATCACAAATCCCAGCAAAATCAAATATAAGAATTCACCTATAGTTTGATCATTAGACTCTAAAGCCCTAGATATTGCTATCCTTCCACAAAAAGGAGTCAGCCAATCACCTGACTGTTCCTTTTGTCCTTTTCTGCAACTTTTACAATTCTATGTGTCCAACATAACATATGTACTTACATCTAATCCTGCCTTCCAAGTTTATATTCTAGAAAACACTGGCTAAATCAAAACTGCCTCTCTCCCAACTGTGAGTAGTTTTCAAACAAGAGAACTCTTGAAAAGACTTTGTCACCCAAAGCTAATCTTTGGACGATGTAGTTGATAACCACACACTGCCTTTATACAATTCAAGTGTCAAGGCTGCAGCTCAAAGAGCGATTTAAATGTTTTTACTGCCTTTCTCATGAGCCAGACCTCAAAGTGTATACAGTACTGTCTGGCTTTCATAATCAGCTTGGAATCCTAATGTTTGATTAAACAGTTTGCATTCACCAAAACAGACTTTTCATCATGTGCTTTAAACACAGAAAAGAGAGAAAGAAAGAAAGAAAGAAAGAAAGAAAGAAAGAAAGAAAGAAAGAAAGAAAGAAAGAAAGAAAGAAAGACTCTGAAAACAAAATGTACTATCTACTTCAACCATGGTAATTCCATGAATCACTATTATAATTAAAGGCCACCACTTTGAATCAGATTAACCATCTTCTATGTACAGAGTCGTATCAAATTAAATAGGCGAATCCTGCCATGGTGCAGATATTTGGTATATTTCCTCCTTTAAATTTCTCTTTAAGAGAAAGTGTAGGCTTTTTCTAATATTGGGGATATTTAACATGTTAGTTTATGGAGAGATGACTTGCACACAGTCCTACAACAGAGGATGCCTATGTGCTACACAAAATCCATCCACCCCAAACCTGATACTCTCTGTATTTCAATGACAACTCCCATTATTCCTGGCTGGCAGCCATGCTGGTTGTGGCTGATGGTTGCTGTTGAGAAGTAAGAGGGTAATTTTTTTCCCTAGGTGACCATAATTGGAAATATGGAACTGAAGCAATAGGAGGGAAAGTGTTTGTTTATTTCTTTAATTTGTTTGTTTGTTTGTTTCATATATACCCCGCCTATCTGGTCATTGCGACCACTCTAGGCAGCTTACAACATAAATTGTAAAATAAATATATATATAACATAATTTACATAATTAAAAATATGTTAAATTAAATAATGTTCTGGGCTGCCTTAAATTAAGGGAGCACTTAATGGTTTCATCCAGTTTCATGATCTACACTGAGCAACACTAAACCTCCTACATTTCAGGGTAAAGGCCTCACTAAGGGCTAGAACAGTGTTTCCTAAGCTTTGAAGTATCACTGTCAATTCATTTTTGTTTTTTGTTTTTACCTTTATGCTTAACCATCACCAAATCCTCTTTGAACAACAACAACAAAATCAGGTCACAATGTATTGAAACATAAACTCAAAAACCCAATGAAATATCTACTGCAGAAATTTGCTTGAGACAAATTATATCCTCTTCCGTATGAAAATCTCTTAAACATTAACTCAAGAACATCAGGAAACATCTATCACAGAAATATTTATGTTTGGGGGGGGGGATCAGATTTAGAAAAAAAATCAGAAAAGAAAAGAAAAAGGAAAATTTCAGCCTTGCATCCCCAAAGATGTTCGCTGCTGTGTGTTTCATGCTATAGCACTTTGCCTTCTAAAATATTGAATCACATTTTTTGGCAAACGAAAGAAATTCAAGAGGAAGGAAAGGTAGTGGGTTCATGTCCTTGATTCTCTCTTCATCTTAGGGCAGAGCTTAATGCAAAGGCAGCTCTTAATGAAATTCCTTCAAAACGTAAAGCAATGCTTTCTAATTTCCTCACTTAATTTAATGTCACAGCTGCCCCATTAATGCCAGCAGCTATTAGATACTTAAACAACCAGCTTGTTGAAGTGCAATTTTATCATATAGTGGCATCTCTCCACTCCTCCCTTCCCTGATTTTGATAATGTCTCATAATGGCAGGGAGGGTGCAATTTAAAATCTCTGAAAGCCATCAGACCCTTAATCATCTTCGCAAAATGAGTACATTTAGCGCCTTTTGCATTAAAAACAACAGCCAAACATCTGATACAAGCATGAAGTTCAGGTCTACTCTATGTTTCCATACCAAGTTTATATCTACAGTTATCATGCCACTTGCAAATTGCCAAATTCATACGTTTGTGTGTTGTTTTGAAAAAAACAAAAAAAAAAACAACTTCCCTTAAATAAAACATAGAGGAGAAGAAACATAACGGTATTCCATCCGTCTAGTAGCTTGTTCTGCACACCTAATTTTAGTTTAAGGGACTTCATATTCTTCACTGGGTCAAGAGTGCACTGCCTGCCTAGCCCCGTGACCGATATAATTTATGGTTATCGCTACATAATATACACACAGTAATGGAGTCACATATAGGCCTCCATTTCCTATTCATGGAGAGCAGTGCAAATACAAAAGAAAGTGTGCGTTTCCCCATCTCCACTGGGATACATATAAATGAGCAATCAAACATTTTTCGCTCCTGCAAGTAAATGCATACAGACCAGCAGACAGATTTCACTCATACCAAGATCATTAAAGAAAAACGGAACCTGGTTACTTAATACAAGAAAGAGTTTTTGCAACAGACTGGCAGTGCTGTCCAATATATGAATGTAACATATTTCATAAATAATGGAACATCTTGGAGACGATATAGACTGGATTTGGCATAACCAGATGACAGAATAATAAAACGAACACTTAATCCGCACTTGAGTAGACTCTTTGAAATAATGGCATGTTAATGCTTAAATAAGACTCATTGATTGAATGGATCTGCTCTAGTTAGAACTAATGATTTAACTCAGTACAGCAAGAGAGAGATGCTAAGAAAGAGAAATGGCAAAATAAATCCACTCAGCATCTACGCTTTCTACTAGGTTCCAAGCAAGATATGTGTGATTTTTCTTTTCTTTTTTGCAATGACATCTTTCAGAGAAACCAAAGAGCAACTTACCTGTTTCTTCATCTATGTTAAACCGACCAAGTCCACTACCATCCCGGATAGAATACTGGATCTCGCCATCCCTGCCGGAATCATCGTCCCTAGCTGCCACTTGTAAAACGCTTGTTCCAATGCGTGAGTTTTCCTTTACAGATCCAATGACCGCAAAGTCGGAAAAATAAGGGGTGTAGAGATTTTCGTTCACATCCACAATTTCAACCTCTACGAAGGAAACCGAGGACAGAGAAACTGGACGCCCTTTATCCTTTGCTCTTACAGTGAGGTTGTAAAACTGTTGCTTCTCATAGTCAAGTTCTTTGCTTAGCCGGATGGCCCCACTGGCTTTGTCTATTTCAAATCTCCCATTGTAATCATTCACCAAAGAATAACGTACTTGTCCTCCAAGGCCAAGATCTGGATCTTGGGTTTCAAGCCAAGCGATGACAGTACCAACTGGCAGATCTTCCAGGACCTTCACACTGTAACTGGGTGGTATGAAAGCTGGAGAGCAGTCATTGACATCATCCAAAACAATATTTAGAGGAACAACAGAAAACTGTTGATGCCCATTCTCCGCTCTATCTCTTGCCTCTATTTTTAGTGTATAATTTGCTTTGGATTCTCTATCTAAATGGTCAGCTACATATATTACTCCAGTAGAGCTATTGATAGCAAACTGCTGTGTGTCTGTTAATATGGAATAGGTCACTTCCCCATTTTGCCCTAGATCTCTGTCTCTAGCTTCCACCTGGATAATCTCCACCCCAACACTTGTACTTTCGAAAATATTAACTGAGTAATCATCTTGCAAAAACACGGGTCTGTTATCATTTGCATCTTCTACAGTTATGGTAAGTAATCTCCACGCGGCTTTCTGAGGATTGCCTAAATCATAAATGGTGAGGTTAAGGAGGTAGAGCTCTGTTTTCTCACGATCCATGGGCATAAGGACTTTAAGCAGACCGGTCTCCATCTCAAGGTTGAAGCAGCTGTCTGTATTGCCGTCTGATATGGTATAGAGCACCTTCCCATTAAAACCAGAGTCAGCATCATAGGCCTTGATTCGAAATATGCTAGCACCGACGGGAAGGTCCTCTCTCACTGATACGTCGGAAGGAAATGATTTATCAAAATGCGGGGCCTGTCTGTTCACAGAGTAGAAATCCAAGAAGCCATCTTCTGAATTTAGTTTTACATTGGCTTTTGCCTTTTTGAGCAACTTCTCTGCCAGCCTCTGAGCAACCCTAGTCTCTCTGCAGCTGAAGGTCTTGGAAGACACTTTTCCATGTACCACTGAAATGTTAACAAACATGGCATCGGCAAAATTCTCCCCATCAGTTGCTGTGATCCTAAGTCCAAAATTGTTGTTCTTGATGCCAGCGCTAACCAAGGACTTTTTCAGCTGAAGGACCCCAGAATCCGGATTCAAATAGAAAAAACCCAGTTCATTACCCGAAATTATTTTGTATTTTACAAGCTCCAGCTCATCTATATCAATAGCAGATACAGCTGTGATGTGCCCACCAACAGGGAAGTCGGATGAAATCACTCCCTGACATGCCACCTTTTCAAACAGTGGCTTGTTATCGTTTACATTGCCTATGTATACTGTTACATTAACCTCGCTTTCGTGGCGGTAAGGCGACCCCCAGTCTGAAGCCCTAACAATAAACCTGTAGCTCTCAGGGGAAGACTCAAAATCTAATTCTTCAGAAGTGCAAATAATCCCAGTAAACTGGTTGATGGAAAACGGGAGCGAATTCAGGCTAGCAATGCTGTATGTGATATAGCCATTTTCTCCCCGGTCCTTATCAAAGGCAGAAACTGATAAAATACTAGTTCCCACTGGAACACTTTCATTCACATAGGAGCTGTACGAAGGCTGTGTAAATTCTGGGATGTGATCGTTGGCATCCTCTATCCTGACTGTTACCCGGGTCTTTAAGTCCCCTTCTTTGTTTACGACTTCTATATCATAAAATTCTTTGTCAACAATTTTTAAAGGACGTGCAGTGGTAATTAGACCTGTCAAGGGATTAATCTTAAAATAGTCTGCATCCTCACTAGGCAATAATTTATATTCTTCTCCCTGGGTTTCTGAGGTTAGCTTGACTATGGCAACAACAATTCCCGGTGGGGAGAATTCACTGATGGCTACATCATACATTTCCTTTTCAAACTTGGCAGGACTGCTTTCTCTCTTGGGACTGGCAATATGTACCAGTTTCACAGCTGAAAACTTCTGAGGAGACCCTCTGTCTTTTGCTTGGAGAGTAAGATTGTACCCATATGGAAAACTGTCCCAATCAATGGGCCTTTTATCTTTGATTTTGTACTCATTCATCCATCTCCCCTCCTTTGCCAACTGGAAATGTTCAAAGGGATCTCCAGCAACAATAGAAAGAGATTCAATCTCACCATTGGCACCTTCATCTAGGTCATCAACATTGACAACAGCATAGGTGGGTTCCTCACCCGAAGGGAAGGGAACATGAGTTACTACACTGATAGTTGGAGCATGTTCATTTATGCGCTCAATATGTATATACAGTTTGGCAGTGCTGCTTACTCCGTTGTTACCGTAGAGTTTCATCCCACGGTCCACAGCCAGAACTTCAAGGTCATACCGGTTCTTTTCATCATAGTTTAGCCGACCACTCAGCGAGATTACACCACTAGTTGGATGGACAGAGAAAAGGTCAACTTTATTCTTGAAATAATAATAGAATTCACCATTGGAACCAATATCAGCGTCCGTGGCTGTAACTTGTGCAATGCTAGTCCTTAAAGGAGTGCTTTCCGCTATTGTGACGGAGTATGTGGTGGGTGAAAATAAAGGCCGTAAGTCATTCATGTCTAAAATTTGCACATTAACTTTAGTCCATGCTTCCAAGTCTTCTCCACGGACAGAACCCTTTATGACCAATAAATAGTTGTCCTGGATTTCTCGATTCAATATGGCGGAATTCCCACCTTTAGTTCTTATCCTAAGAAAACAGAAATCAGCTATTACCACTTCCTCTGCTTTGAAAAAGCCTTCTTCATCGCCGGACACTATCCTGTATTTGATATCCCAGGAAAGGTCTGCCAAGGTAATACCCATCCTACTTTGACTGTTCAGATAAGTCCGTGCCGCAGAGTTTTCATACACAGTGGCATTGTAGAGGGAATGTGTGAAGTGGAAGCCAAATGGTGCTGTCCCTTGAAGGCCATGACAGACGGTGGCCCAAAGCTGAACAAGCAGGAAGAGGAGACTAGATGCAGGGGCCAAAGGACCTGACCAATGGCCCATATTTATCTCCATCACATCATTCTTTCATCCTAAGAAAGGGAAAAGATGAGCATTGATTAGTGGGAAACCACAGAACTGTTTTAATCGTGTTTATAAAATTAAAATGCAATTGTTTCACCATGCTTATAAATTGCATATAAACCTTTTCCACCATTCTGTCCCATTTGCAAAAAGTTCTGACATATGTCAGCAGAATCTATGCCCTACAATCCAAGAGTAGGCCACTAGCTATGAACTGCAGGCTATTTCATGGTTTAAAACAACCAGCCCTGTCTTTGCAGTTCGAAACAGGCTACAAAACTAATTCAGAGTCTCTGGCAGGGTGTGAAACATGGCTCATAGTCCACTACAATATTTTCAGACCTGCATTAGCCTCTGACATTCTTAAGATGCACCTCTTTCGCATACGGGTGTCTTGGAAATGGCCTGACTTTAGACAAAGTTGAGGAGTGGCTGTAGCCATTGTGCCCTTGAGGAATGTGTCTCCAGTCCTACCAATTATTAGAATTATATACATGAATGAACACTGTAAAGAGGAAAAAAATGGGCTACACCTGATACAATATTGTGGTGGTTCACTAAAACCTGCTGACCAAGAGTAACTATGATGGTCCAGCAAGAAAGGCCCAATAATGCAGTTACAATGCAGCTATAGATGCAGAGAGTACGTTGATGCTCCAGAGATTCCAACAGAATATTTACTGGGCAAGACATCAGCAGTCACCATCCTTGGCAGCTGTAGTACCAAGCTGAGTTGATGCCTGCTATGGACTATGTCCATCCTCCTACACGTAAATCACAGTCTAGTTTTTTCCACAGGAAGACGCAATCTGGCCATCATTTCAAATAATTAACAATTGCCTTCATGTAGCTCTACAGTAGGGGATTGTGAACTTGCTCATCAGCATAATGGCCACTTTGTTAATAAAAAAAAAATACTGGCAAGGACAACATCTTAAATAGTCATCTAAGATAATTTCTCCTTTTAAGAAATCTGTTTTCTTTCCCCTCACCCCCTTGTAACTAAATCCTAGACTTCATCAAGACAGTGAGATGTGTTTATTGCATTTCAAAAAGAATATTGGACCAAGATAAAGCACAACAAAACACTGGAGGGAGTTATTTACTGAGAGGCGCCATATTTTCCTTGTTAGTCTTGCTGTTTCTCTGAATCTTGGCCACCCTGGAGATTTTGTTACATGCAACAAGCTAATGGCTTGCATTATCTCACAACATCAACTCGCACATGCAATGTGCATGGAAAGAGCAGAAGCTAATTTTAAACAAATGTATAAGGTCAGAAGTGGTAAGCACAGAAGGGAGAGAAGAAAAATAATGTATTTTTCAGTGTATACGACCCCTCAATGTATAGTTGTTGTTTAGTCATTAAGTCGTGTCCGACTCTTTGTGACCCCATGGACCAGAGCACTCCAAGCCCTCCTTGTTTTCCACTGCCTCCTAGAGTTGGGTCAAATTCATATTGGTCGCTTCGAACACACTGTCCAACACACTGTCCCCTTCTCCTCTTGCCTTCACACTTTCCCAACATCAGGGCCTCAATGTATAGGACGACCCCCTAATTTTTACCCTTGCCGGAGGAGCAGTCAATGAGCAGCCACGAGAGGTGGCCGAGCGCGGCTGCACCTTTTCCTTCCTCTCCGCCTCCTCCAGCTGCTAAGGAGCCTGCAAGTGGCACTGGAGGAGACTGCGCCTTCCTCTCCGCCTCCTCCTGCTGCTACTGAGCCTGCAAAGTGGCACTGGAGGAGACTGCAGTCGTAGTAGGAGGTGGAGGCAAAGAAGTAGCTGGGCTTGGCCGCCTCTCGCTGCTGCTCATTGACTGCTGTTGCCGCCGGATCACCTCCTCCACCGATTATCTCCTTCAGGTACGTAGGGGACAAGGCGGTGATGTGAGCTGGAGGCGTAGTAGGAGGCGGAGGCAAACAAGCAGCCGGGCTTAGCTACCTCTCGCTACTGCTCATTGACTGCTGCTGCTGCCAGATCACCTCCTGCACCGATTATCTCCTTCAGGCAGGGGACAAGGTGGTGACGTGAGCTGGAGGTATGCCCTGGCAGGAAGAGGAGGTGATTGGACAGTGGCGGCAGCAATCACTGGGCAGCGGTGAGAGGTGGCCGAGCGTGGCTGCTTCTTTGCCTCCGTCTCTGCCCCCTGCCGCTGCCTTCCGTGTATAACACGACCTTCAATTTTTCCTCTATTTTAGAAAAAACTGTCATTTTACAGACAGAACAATACAGTAAAAGCTAATGGTAAACTTCTATAAGTTGAGCACTGTTTTTGTGGCAGAACTTCCCCGCAGTCTCTTTCTTGCAAGCAGAGTATAATTCTATAACTCTGCTGATGGATTTTTAAAGCACTCATTGAAATCGATTTATCGCATTGATGTTCTAACACTCCCACAAAGCACCTCAGCTTCAAACCTGGAGTCCATATTCAACTGTGCAGCACATTAATCAATAATTGACTCTCCTGTGTATTTTACCAAGGCACAGACCATTAAAAAAAACACACACACTCATTCACCTCCACAAATTATACCTCCCCTCTACATTATATTGGTTCGGTGCAATTCAGAGAGCTAAGAAAGTTATTGGTAGCAGGTTTTTGGCAAGGGAAGTGTGATGAATTGGAACGAGGAATATGAAACTATGCATTGAATTCTAATCAAGGAAGGTTGCAAGGGAAGTGTGATGAATTGGCACGAGGAATATGAAACTATGCATTGAATTCTTCATATACACCTGGACACCGTGCAAAAGAAAAATTTTCACAGTCCTCAAGATTCCTTGTCTCTTGTACAGTAATGAGATAGAGGTCTTTTCTGTTGATGTTTCTGTGATTTGCACAAAAAGTCTCTATGCAAAACAGAGCGAGTACAGAAGAGTGACATATTGATCAAGAAGATACGAAAAATCCAAGATATGCTTCAAATTTTTAAAAGGCCATGTAACAAGGCAGGGCCTATTACTGTTTTCAAAATTAGCATTATTACAAAAAGACAAAACAAAACAGAACAAATTTTGCCATTTCTCATTCTCGTGTGTAAGTGGGAGAATGAGACAGACAAAGATTTACAACAGGCATTGCATACAAAATGTCAAAGTCGCAATCCTGTCATGATGTATAACCATGCTCTTAACTTCTGTGCTGGAACATAGACTATATATACCAAAGATGGCCCTGAAAATGGCCTACTCATAATTACCAGGATCCTTCCCTCTTCTCCCAGAGGCCATTTTATAACTTCCGCTCCTGCAGTGAACAACATGAGCCCAGGCCATAGGAAAGAAAAAGAGTAACTATGATGGTCTTCAATTGCTATACTAATTTGTTTTCCAACCACTGTAGTAATCAGGGACTCAAACGGAAATATCATGGGATCTGAAAGATGGGGATAAAAGGGAGAGAAATATAATTTCACCTTCTCTTCCCAAATGGAGCCCTGCAGAACCATCTAAGAGTTTGAATTTACTTGTAATTAGTGTAATATTTCAATCAAATGTTTATGTTTTCATTGTTCATGTTTCGCGTTGGCTGTCTTACGGTCCTATTTTCTGTCAAAATGGCAGGGCACAAATCTAATAAATAAATGGAAAAAATGACATGTTGCAAACAGGTCATAGAAGGTCACTGATAGACTGAAGAAGGGCTAAGATAAAATAAATGTCTAATGCAATGAAAACAAGTTTTAAACTATAACTTGTATGGTAGACGGCTTTCTTCATCTACCTGGCTTTTTGGCTGGTTTGACTTCGGCAATCAAGTTACTGGTTTTTTTTTGTTTGTTTTTTTTTAGTAAAACAACAGCAGTTTATGTTTGCAGCAGTCTTTCTCCAGTTGGATATTTATTTTAAAAATCCATGTCGTGTTTAGCAGGCAGGAAATGTAATGTGATAAGAGGCAACCCGTTCCAACAAGCCGAGGAGCAAATGAAAAAGGAGCAGACAAACAGGAATCACTTTGTAACATTTTTGGATTTTTTAAAAAAATTATATCTAACTAAATATTATGGTTTCATCTGGGAGATTAGGAGTGTGGCCTCTTGTGTACTGTTTCAAAATATCAAAACAGGAAACTAGTTAGAATCGCACAAGGTTTTGTTTAAAAAGGGCAAGCCGTGCATTCGCTTTGGCACGACAGCATCAATTAAAAATGTAAAGCCCTCTTCTGAACAACAGCGTCAATTAAAAATGGAAGTCATGCTCCAAATATTCACAGTACTAGTCAAGGTGACTTCGGCAGAGTTCTCTCCGACAACAAGAGATACTAGTCTCTTGAAGTGCGTTAAGGAGGCTCCTCTGTCATTCACCTTGTGAATGCAAATCCCCCAAGTCCAAGACAAATACTTCATTACCATATTGATGAAATTTAAGACTATCTTCCTGTCTGAGGAAATCAGCAACATGTTACTTTCCCCCAAAGGCTACAACAAAATGAAGGCAGGGAACGGGAGGGGAGAGAAGGTGCATCAAGGACCAGCTCGGCTTTGCATGACAAGGAAACGTGAGCTGTGAAAAGGTACCGCCTGCTCGAACATATTGTTTTGGTTAGAAAGGGACAACAAACCATGGTTTGATGTTACGCAAATGAGGAAAAGCAAGTCTGAGGTACCCATGTTCCCTCCTTCCCTTATCCCTTAGTTTGAGGGGGAGAGGAGACACATGTTTCTGCTTCTTTGTTGTTGTTTAGTCGATAAGTCGTGTCCGACTCTTTGTGACCCCATGGACCAGAGCATGCCAGGCCCTCCTGTTTTCCACTGCCTCCTGGAGTTGGATCAAATCAATGTTGGTTGCTTCGATGACACTGTCCAACCATCTCATCCTCTGTCCAACCACCCTTCTCCTCCTGCCTTCACACTTTCCCAACCTCAGGGTCTTTTCCAGGGAGTCTTCTCTTCTCATGAGATGGCCAAAGTATTGGAGCCTCAGCTTCAGGATCTGTCCTTCCAGTGAGCACTCAGGGTTGATTTCCTTCAGAATGGATAGGTTTGATCTCCTTGCAGTCC